AGATAGATAGATAGATAGATAGATAGATAGATAGATAGATAGATAGATAGATAGATAGATAGATAGATAGATAGATAGATAGATAGATAGATAGATAGATAGATAGATAGATAGATAGATAGATAGATAGATAGACGGACTCTTGCAGTCACATTAGCAGCAACATCAGAGTGACATTCACCTGTGAAGGATGCAAATACTCATTAAATCTTTAGATATAAAATAATTGTTTTCAAGGATATAAATATTGCACCACTGTGCAAAATGAATAAAACGATGACATGCTTGTTCGTTTGACTTCACCCATTCATGTCGTACATGTAAAAACAGAAGACGGTTATTAGATTGTAAACGATCATGCTTTATTACTGTAATCTACTCCCGGATTAGCCCAACGTTGTTTGGACTTGAAGCCCATGACTCGCTACAATGCAACAGACCGACAAGCTGGAGAAAGTAAACTGTAAGAAATCGTGCACATTTTCTCTTGAAATCACTGAATTGTTACGGCACGACTGTGTTTGTGCTCAACTGGAAACATGTTGGAACATTCCTGCATACGACGTGCAATTATTGTTGCGGTGCGGTCGTCCCTCGCGATATCGTGGTTCAATTCTTGCTGCTTCAGTGCATCGCGGGTTTTTAGACCCAGTTATTTATATTGTGTGTACTGTACTCATCGTCATCATCTTCATCGCCACATGAAGCGCTTATGAGAGAGTGGGAAAGGTTTGTAGGAGTGTGGGAAGGGTTTATAAAGCCAAAAAATGAATATAAATAATAAAATAAATATAATGCTGCTACTTTGCAGATTTTCACTTATTGCGGGTGTCTCTGGAGCATAACCCCCACAACAGGTGATGGTAGGCCTGTCACGATAACAAATTTTGCTGGGCGATTGATTGTCTTAGAAATTATTGCGATAAACGATAATATTGTTTGAAATTTGACAATAATTAGTAATTATTGTCAAATTTAAGAAGAAATGTTGGTTAATAAATTTTGAGTGTAGTGCCTTTTGTGAACCACTGGGTGGCAGTATGAGACTGTTTGAACCAGAGAATGGATAGTGAGGGAGCGAGCAGCGTCTCTTTAAGAAAAATGGGAGGGAGGCCCCTTGACGTGACATGGGCTGTCTCTCTTTCCTTTTTTGGGTTCTCAAAATGGCGCATGCTCGGTGTGGTTTGAGCTCTTTAGCATTTTTCACACAAAGCTTTTAATAAAAAAAAAATCAGTAAACAAGTTCTCAGCTTCTTTTTGCAGAGAAAAACTGTTTACACAAAGGCACGGGTTTCAAACGTGAATTTTGGAGCTTCGACAAGATGGAGGTTTTTTCCTGAGGTCGGCCTGTTAGCTTAGCTTCTCAGCTTAGCTGCTTTTAACGATCCAAAAATATGATTTTAGATGGTTAAAACAGAATTTAAAGAGAAAAGAGAAAGGGAGGGGTCAGTGAAGAGCACCGGAGTCGAACCTTTTGTCGTCCAGTGTCTTCAGTAGAAAGAGAGAGACACGAAGAAACGATAAAGCCGATAGATGAAAATGAGGTTGATCATTTTCATTTATCGTGAGATTAAGTGATTTATTGTTTATTGCGACAGGCCTGGGTGACGGATCACCGTATCTTTACGTCTAAAGTTGATCACACTTTACTTTCCGTTTGTCTCACTTTGGTTTCACACAAACCTTCAAATCTAACTCACACGTCCCCGTGTCCCTGTGATGGACATGTCTCCAGTCCATCACAGGGACACAGAGACAAACGAGACAAACAACCATTCACTCTCTCACCTCGGGACAATTTAGAGTTACCAGTCAGTCTAACATGCATGTTTTTGGTCTGTGGCAGGAAACCGGAGTATCTGGAGAAAACTCACGCATGCACGGAGAGAACATGCAAACTCCACCCAGAAAGGTCCTCGGACGGGATCTGAACCGGCAACCTTCTTGCCGAGAGGCCACAGCTCTACCAGATTGAAAACCAGTATGAACATGTTTTTGAAAACTTCCTCCCAGATGAGGACAGTTTTTCTCCAACAGTCCCAGCTCAGTGGGATGAAGTCTTTAGGAGTCTAGGCAGCATCTCTTGACCCCAGAGTTATTAAATGAGGAACTTGATGTATTTTATAAAACCTAAAATTAGTGTTTGAATTAAATTGCAGGTTTAAAAACATGCATTTGTTTTTTTTTTTCTTTCTCAACGTGGATAAAAAAACTCTAACTTGGACAAAGTGAATTATAAAGCAGCATTTATAATTGACAGTCCATTTGTTCTCTAATGTTCTCGTCAGCCCTCGCTGCTTCTCGGGCTTGTTGGGTTTCTCTCCTTCACTTCCGTTCGTGCTACACCAACACAACTGCCAGAGCCAGTCGCCATGGAGACTCGGAGGGAGCTCTGCTGAGGTGAAAACAACAGACCAGAAACCCACAAGGCTTTGCATCCAAATAGAGACGAGCATTTGAAAGAGTGGGAAAACGGGATACGGGGGTGAAGTGAGAAACAAAACACTCAGGTCACTGATCTCTTCTTATCGTTTTCCAACTTTTACTTTGTACTAATGTCTCACGTACGAGTAAAATAAAAGCAGAGCTGTAAAAATACGACGAGCGACAGAAACACCGGGGTGCTCGTTTGCTCCCGCTTCCTAAAAACATGTTAACATTCCTGCCTCGTGCATCACAGCATGTTTTGATTCGCAGTTAAAAGAAGCAACGCAGGCTCACGACCAAGGACGACAAGAAGGATTTACAGAAACCAAAGCACACCGAGTACAGAAGAGCTGATACGACAGAGAGAGATTCAGTGGAAGAAGTTTACACATTTAAAATATACGTGAGACTCACAGGATCCAGGCATGCCAGCAGTGACGGGCTGAGGCTGGTAGGTTCCCTCAGTGATGGCCGGCATGGGGGCAGTGCTCTGTGCAAACTGAGCCTAAAGAGTAACCAGACACACCAGGCAATGAAAGCACTGCAAATGAAGGTTTTCTGAATTTGGCATTAGATGCTTTTCTCTTCAACACAACACAAACACAGAATAATAATTAAACTCAGGACCAAAAAAAATCTCTTTATGCTCGTAAATGGTAAACAGACTGTACTTGTATAGCTCCTTTCTATCTTATCAAGTCTCAAAGCTCTTTACAACAATGTGTGCCTCGTTCACCCATTCATACAGCTCTATACTAGATCTCTACAAAGCTAATTGAACATATCGTTCTAAAAAGACTAATCAGAGCTTCATCACATTCAAACACCGATGGGACACACATCGGAGGCAATGAGGGGTTCAGTGTCTTGCCCAGGGACACTTCGGCATGTGACTGCTGGTGGAGTTGAACCGCCAACTCTTGCATTGGAGGACGACTGCTCTAACCACTGAGCCATAGCTGCCCCCGTAGAAGACAGGACATCAGATTAAAAATCTAGTGTTATTTTTTTAGAACTGTCGTTACGTCATGGTGCAAAAGTCTCGTTTTATTTTATTTTGCATAAAAGGAGTCAAAGTCTGAAGAACTACTGCACAAAACCACAATAAAAATTAGAAGTTTGTCTCCCTGGAAATGAAACAAAGAAATGATGCACGTATCAAAATACCTGCACTCCTTTTTAATGTCAATAAACTGAATTTAAGTATCTGGATTTTGGCGGTCTTTACTTGGAATGGGGTTAGATTCGTTTAGTTCCTCTGTAGAATGCCATAAAATTACTTTATTTTTCAACTAAATATTAAAGCAACCAGAAAAGACCAAAGTGCTGTGCAGAACATAAAACATACTAGAAGCAGTAACGGCAGTCCAAAGGGCAGCAAATATGAGAAAAGGGGTAAAACATGAGCAGCGCTATGATAAAAACAAATGAGGCAGCATAAAAACTTTTCAACTAAACTAAAATCAACATCTCACATGGTGTCGAAGCTCATTAAAACTGAACCATTTTTCAAGTGTTGGCTCTTCAAATAAAAAAAGTAGACTAAATAAAAAAACAAAACTTTGTTGGATTATTTCACTTCTTCTTTTCACTCTCATCTTTTAATTGTTTTTTAAAAAAGCTGCAGAGTTCCCAAATAAAACTAGAAAAGCTGTGACTCTGCCGCCTTCACCGACTTCAGAGTAATCCGTGCACGTTTGTTTGCATTCGCCTTGAAGTTTTGCGGGCTGGGGTCAGATGTGCTTCGTGCAACTTCGCCTGCAGCACAAACACTTCAGAGCATCAACTCTTAGTTTTAACGCCAAAGAGAGTAGCATAAATAATTAATCACCTAAAAAACGAGCACAGTGCATTCATAACACAACGGTCTTACCTGGATGACCTTGTCGACCTTGAGGTCCTCGAGGGATGGATACAGAGACATGCTGAGAACAAATAAATAAATAAGTATTATCACAGGAATTAACCACTCTGCCGATCGATAGTTCAACTCCAGAGGCAGCTCATCCATTACTCTAAATCAAGTTTATACAGACGTCTGGATCAAGTTACTCTGATGAGAGCGCCTCACACGCATCACAGGCAGTTTCATAAACGAGGATCAAATTTAACATTTCTACAGTAAAAGCTACAAAAGAAGAGGATACTCTGAACTGCGGCAGGACTTCGGTTACATAAGAGAATATGTCAAATGTACTCAGTAGGTAGATATTTAAACTGGGCCAAAATACACCGTTTTTAATTGTTTAAACCATGCGTTAACACAAAATATTATTTGGTTGATGCAATAAATTAAATCAGGTCGGATATTATCCAGTCTAGGAAATATACTCTGTTTTTTCCCCTTTTCCTTAATTATTTTTATTTTTTAAGAAAACATCCATTAATAAACCAAAGTAAGAAGGATGTGTGATTATTTCTGATCTAATAAATTATCCATTAACAAGTGAAAAGCACAAGGAGTATAATTGTGACATTTAGTAGGCTGTACGACATCATTTCCTTTTGTTTGATCATCTTGTCTCAGCGGCTGAATAAAAGTGTTCGAATGCGCATGTTGACTCAACCTGTTATGAAATCTGTAGGGTAAAGTGCAAAAATGATTTCCTAAATCATGTGAAAGTGCAGAAAACCTTTATTCTTCGTCAGTTTGAAACATTCTTTCATCTCAAACAATCGGATAAAGTTAAATATTGAAGCCTGTAAATACAGGAGGTGACTGAAAAACAAAGTAAACTTTGAAGAGTGGAGGAACAGAATCAAACTTAAGCATTATACAATCCATCTGAAACTTCCCCGATGTTTACTCCAAACAAGATTTAACTCCGTGACACAAAAACAGCAGCCTGAAGCAGAACGTGGAACCGAAAGGAAGTCAGCTGACTGAAGTTGAGCAACAACAAGACGGAGCTGCGCTCAGTTAGATAACGGAAACTGAAATGGCAGCTTTAAAAAAAACGACCTCATCACTCAAACCGATTTTTTATCAAAAGAATTGGAAAAATGTCTAAAATATCCGTCAGTGTGTTGTCTGAAAGTTTTATTAGACATGAATTATGCAACATTTTGGGCATCATCTCCGAACGCCGTTCACCGACTTGTTACTGAATATTCCTTTATTTCACCAAGATGTTTTATCGTCTTTCTGTCCACACAGGAACGGTTGTTGTGAATGCCCAAAAGTTATTTTTATCGTTTTGGCCTTGTGTCCACACAGAAACACCAACCTAGGAGCGCCACAACTATATATCTTCATGAAAACTGATGGTCAAGTGGAAAAAAACTGTTGTGTAGACCTCTTCAGCAACAAAAAGCTGTTAAAATCCCACTTGTAATCTAACCTACAACCCAAGGGTGTCCTTATCTTCTGTTAGGTTTACGTTTCGCTAACGTGTGTAAGCTTTATTGCTCCAGGCCTTGTTTCCTGTTTTGGTATATTTTTGCGGCAGTGCTACACACAGGTCTGGTGTAGTTACTGCAGTGTTTTGGATCGTTTTCATATGGATGAAAACATTTGTAGAAACAGTGCCGTGTTTACGAGGATATTTTTAGAAACAAATTTTAAAAAAAAAGATAATTTTGTGAAAACTGTATGTGACTAGGAACCAACAGCAGATGCAGAAATTCCTCTACCCTCACAGTTATTTGTTTTATATGAAAGCTGATTGGGGAAAACATTATTGGTTGTAAGTTTTAACTATTTATCCATAGTTTTTTAAATATTTGTTATGGTTTTAAGTTGTGTTTTTGCATTATGCACTATAATACTAAATTAATGTGCTTTCAATCCTGTCTCTTAGTCACTGCAAACACTAAACACGTGAATAAAGTAGGAGTTGATATCTTTGGCCATTCTGTTGATTCTTGTTGGGGTTACGCTAACTGTTGTTCTCCTCTGACCAGACTTATTTGTATATTTAAACTCGTGCAGGTATTCGTTTCAGAAATGCAAATAGCAAAGTAACTATCTTTTTTATTCTTGACTGATTAAACAAAATAACTTTTATTACAGCATTTTCATCCTCTGAAGTAATAAAGCTAAAATGTTCATTAGTTAAATATTTTGAGTCAAACTTCTTTTTACATGAAAATAAAAAAAACTGAATGCAAAGGTGGTGACTTCATATTTTTACTTGTCTGGTGTAAAGCACACCAGTCACCAGAAGAACAGTGGTGTTAAGGGTTATAAGATAAGGTTAGATGGTGTGGAAAAAAAAAATTTGAATGTCGAAACATCTTTGTGCAAGCAAAATTTGTTTTCTTGAAAAATGTTGCAGAACATTTACTTACAAACTTGTTCATTTCAAATTCTGAGCAAAAAGATGAAGATTAATGAGCACTGAAACAGGCACCAAACTAAAAATGACACCTGACCAAACGCATGTGTCTGAGAGTTCATGAAACAAGGTGGAACGTCGGCAATTAAGGAACTGTGTGACGATCACAAGACACGAGGACGGCGCTCTTCCTCAACACGAAAACACAGCAAAAGCATGAAAAATATAAAAACAACCACTTGAATCAAACGACAAGCCGACTTCCTTTTCTCAAAGTTATGGTAATGAAAACAGATTTTCTACAAAAATCTAACCCGCTACAGTGAGTAAAAAATAACACCGTTCAGAAAAACATGCACTTTCAGAGGAGTTTAAAAATAAAAAATTCACACCCGTGACTCGTGTTTACACAATGATTTATTTTGACACCTGTGAGTAAAAACTGCACCCAGCGCCTAAAATAAGCAAATAAATTGACCACAATCACATCACTGTTCCTCCTCACTCCTCCAGCTACTACTCTGTTCTGTTCTTCACAGTCCTCCCCGACAAGCACATCGTTGTGTCCGTTTACAGACGTTTCAGTGTTTGCTTGCTGCTTTGTATTTCTCTCAAAACCTGCAGGCTGGAAATAAATTTGTGATGACATCATCTTATTCCAAACAAATAAGGTGGATACTAAATACTGCATGCAATGTTACAGGAAATAACTGCCCCAGAGTGAAAGAAATGCGTATATAAACTACAAATCAAGCAGTGGCCTATTTGATTTAATGTTTTTGTTAAATATTTCATTAATCACCAACATAATTTTAATAAAACTGTCAGAAAGGAATCATTAGATGTACACATAAAACTGATAAATCTTCGAACTTAACTCAGTTCAAGATGGCCACCACAGCTAAGCAATCCTAGCAAACACTAAAACGGCTTGTCAGTTTTACAAATATGAAATAAAAATGTGTTGGAAAATTTTCGGTATGAATATTTTTATTGTGTTTCTACATTATGGCTGAGAACATCTTGTCCTCCTGCTTTGAGAACATGTCCAAAACATTCTCTTATCTTCATCTGGAGGCGGACTCACCAACGGCAATGAAGAACAAATTCAACCTTTATTTATACAGGTTAGTCTCACTGAGCCTCAAGGACTCATTTACAAGAGAGACCTGTTTTAGACAAAACTGTGTTCAATGAAGAACATTAGAGACAACGCGGAGCATCGTCTTCGTCAGACTGTCACACAACAACAGAGTGTCTTCAGTCAGAGGCTTCTTCAGATCCACTGTAAGACAGACAAGAGATCCTTCCTGCTCACAGCATCTAGAACAACTCTTTAATGAAACCAGGACGATGAGCTACAACAACATGGAATATGTCACAGAATGTGACATGTTCCATACATTATATGTCTCTATGTATGCAATCTGTCTTGAATGGGTCCTTGCAAGTAAAATGCAAGTTAAAAACCTTCTCCTGCTGTTGAGTGTGGTTCTTTTGGATAAACCAAGTTTGCCAAACTGCCAAATCTACTTCCCCCTCAGACTCAACGGTACTCGCTCTATTCAACCGTTACTGGACTGCCGGGCTGACATCAGAGATTGGATGGCTTTAGATTCCTTGAGTTTCAACGAGAAGAAATCTGAAGTTCTGCTGTTTCCTCCCAATGACACAATCACCAACCACTGCATCGACCTATCCGTTCTGTCACCGTTAGTGAAACAAAGAGTCACTAATCTGGGAGTGATACTTGACCCTTCACTGAAACAACAATCATGTAAATATGATTGTTAAATCCTGCTTTTTCCAGCTGAGGCGACTGTCTAAGCTGAAGCCCATATTGTCCAAAAATAACCTGGAGACAGTAATTCATGCATTCATTACATCCGGGCTCGACTATTGCAACTCACTCCTTTTTGGTATCAGTCAGACCTCCAGAGCTAGACTTCAACTGGTCCAAAATGCAGCAGTCCGGTTTTTGACCAGCACAAGCAAAAGGGAGAACATTACTCCTGTTTTGGCCTCCTTACACTGGCTTCCGGTTCACCTTCGAATCAAATTCAAAATACTCTTGTATGTCTATAAATCACTAAACAGCTCTGCCCCCTCCTATCTTACTGATCTGCTCCAGCCGTATGTCCCACCACGTTCTCTCAGATCAGCGGACCAGTTGCTCCTAACAGTCCCAGGAACCCGTCTCAAGCGCAGAGGTGACAGGGCCTTCTCTGTAGCAGGTCCAAGACTTTGGAATGAGTTACCTCTGCTCGTTAGACAGGCCCCCTCCCTCACAGTTTTTAAATCTCGCTTAAAAACACATTTTTATTCCCTGGCTTTCAGCACTGTGTGATCTGTGCCGAGTCTGTGTGCAACACACTGTGTTGGTCATGTTGCAGTTGTTGTTGTTATCCATTATTGTTTTTGTCGGTTTCTACTTTTTGGTGTCCTGTTATGTAATCTGTTGCTGTGTGCTTGTTCTGTTTGTCCCTGTACAGCACTTTGGTGTGCTTTGTCACTGTTTAAAGTGCTATATAAATAAATTGGTATGGTAAGTTAAGTTAAGTGAGAGATTTTCTCAAACTGTTAACATCTGAGAGTCACCCAGAACTCACACTTGGAGCGAAACACTTTCTCGAGTAACATCTTTGCTTAAAATCTTGGATTTGACCCTGTTAGTTTGTTAGCAAAACATTGAATTAAAAACTAGTCAGAATTCAATGAAACTGTCAGAAAGTAATTTCTGCATGCACATCTACACGTGTGTAACTCTTGGAGTAAATACATTTCCAAACAGCCACCACAGCGAACTCCAACATGTTGCAATACTGTATCGCATTAGACTGTGTAGCAAAACACCTACAACTCCATTTCTCAACACGAGCTTAGTCTAAAACTGGTGTGAAAGGCCGAGGGTTGAATGCATTAGTTTAATGAATGCTAGGCCTTTTGTGATATTATGTGATATCACCTCCTTCTACAGGTGTGCAGTGGAGAGCATCCTGTGCTCGAGCATCAATGTGTGGCATGGAGGCTGCACAGCTGCAGAAAAAAAAAGCTTTGCAGAGAGTGGTGAAGGCTGCACAGAAATCTGTTGGAATCAGTCTCCCCACCACCACAGACATCTACACCTCCAGATGCAGGAAGAGGGCCACCTGCATCATGAAGGACCCCACTCACCCAGCACACACACTTTTTGCCCCACTCCCCTCAGGAAGGAGGTTAAGGAGCATTAAATGTAGAACCACTAGACTGAGGAACAGCTTCTACCCTGAGGCTGTTAGACTCATGAATCTCTAACTAGAATAATCACTGTGGAAAAACCACATCATGTTGCTGCTGATCTGTTCCATGTTGCTGCTGATCTGTTTTAATGTTGATGTGTTCATGCGTGAACATCTGCTCACAGACTCATGTTCATGTTTGTGCTGATGTTCAATGTTTTATGTTATGAGTGCTTAGTGTATATTTAGTTGATGTTTTTCTTAGTTCGTATCTTAGATGTTATTACTGTTTTTCTTATACATTTTATTGTTGGATGTAACTGGGACCCTGTGTACATAATTTCGCTCCACCACATGTACCACATGAGGTGCGAATGACAATAAAGAAACTCTGACTCTGATATTATAGTTCTAAATCACCTGTTCTGTAATCACAACCTGCTCCAAAAGTCACAAATAAGTCCATCATTCTTCTCCTGAATAAACACCAACACAGGGACTGATTTTATAAAGCAGAAAGGCGAACACGAGGAGTCGGTGCCTATTAAAAATAAATGAATTTAACCGTTTTCCACCGCTGTTCTTCAGCTCAGCATGTGACAAACCAAAGTAAGAACTGGCAGAAACCAGACTTCAGTAAGTTTGGATCGGTTTGATGCAAGAATGTGGTCTTTTTGGCAGCTTATTCAGGTCTACTGACATGGCTGTGGAGAAAAACGAGGTTAGGATGAAGTGGAGAGAGAAGGACTGATGAAAAAACACTAACCTACGCCCTCAGCACACTGAACCTGGTAAATACCTGAAATACGAAGCTCAGAAGAATAACAATCATCCATACAGCCTGCGTTGTTAATATTATAGCACAAAACTTGAAGAAATAAAAAAAGATTCTCGTGAATATAATAAAACTCTAACCTTAATACGTTTTAATTGTTAATGCGTCTGTCTGAAGACAAATGTTGCTAATGTAAGCTAACCTTTCCGCACGGATATGAGCTAGCTGTTAGCTGGTTGGATTGGTATCATTTAACGAGCTGAGTTAATTTTAGCAAGGTGCGCAAAGGAGGAGAAAAGTAGCGGGGCTGCTAAGTCTTTGTTCCGACATAAACAGGGAGGAGGAGGAGGAGGAGGAGAGGGGGAGCTGGCCGGAAAAAAAAACGACGTTAGCTTGTCGGATAAAACCGCTCACCCGCTAAGAAAGCTTTGACAGAACCGTTTTCAGTTCGGATTGTCTCACCTGTAAAGTCTGAGTGTTGGTGTAGGAGCTCGAACACACAGTTGGGACCCTCCAGAAAGCGCCGGACTCCTTTATTTTATTGTTTTTCTTGCTCTATCTTCGCTCCGCTGAAAACCTGAAGGGGACTTCTGGAAAGTGATGTCACCGCTGGCTTCCTGCTCAGTCGGTCGTGACGTCAGTAGACCACGCCCCGCGTCGATCACGTGGGCGCCGTTGGGGTTTAATTGTTTTGATGCGTCGCTGATCTGCGCGATCAAAACGTTTCGAGTTTGTGTTGTGAACTCACCTGTTTGTCCATAGAATCCCTTAATAGTTTTTATAGAAACTGTGATCGAAAACTTATTCTCTTTGTGGGATTTTAAACAACTGATAAGTTCAATAATCTGTTCTGTCTGTACAGCACTTTGCTTGGCCTTGTGGCTGTTTTAAGTGCTCTATAAATAAAATGGTATGGTATGGTAATAGATAAATCAAAGCAAACATTCTCTTATAAGGCGCCTTGATTTTATTTTGTTTTATAACATTACTCTTTTTATTTTATTTGCATTTTGTTGTTGTCTGCACCTTATCTGTGGTTTTGTCTCTCTTAATCAGTCCTCCTGACTCAATGAGACTAACCTGCCTGTATAAATAAAGGTTGAATGAATGAGAAAAAAAAGTGCTCATGAAAGGGGTTTTCCTGAACTACTATATCTAACGGTGAAGACAAGTTGTTTTACAGCTATATTGACAGTGGCGCTCCTGAGCAATAGTGGGGCGAATATTAATTTCCTGAATCACTAACCACACAAATGATACAAATTGTATTACATTGATGCAGTAATCCAGGTAGAAAGATCTAACAAGGTTAAGATGGGCCCTATGGACAGATTCTTTTGTTGAAAAGTTCCATCTTTTATCCAAAATACCTCGTCAGGCTAATGAGCTGCAACAAACTCAGTCGTATAAATAGCACCTTCACATAGTGGATCAACCGTTTGCTGGTGACAGTCAAAAATAGCTGTTCACATGATCAAGGAGGATCATCAGCCTAACATTTGGTCGTTAATGCCCTGATGGCCACTTGCTTTTCACAGAGGGCTGAGTGATACTAGCAATAACAGCATTGTAAGAGGGGGACCGTTGGACACGGAGGCCTCCATGTTCTTTATAAGACGTGTTATAACACATGTTCTTTATAAATAAAATTATTTCAAGAAGAGAGAAAATTCAAACCATACTTCCTTCTACTACCCCCGGTCCCCTGTCAGATGACGCAGCTTTAGAGATGTTACTAGAACCTGATTTGTGTTTGGACAGTTTTTGTCCCGTTGAGCGCTCTGAATTGTCAAACATAATAGCTTCATCCAAACCATCCACATGTCTGCTTGTCATTTCCCCTAATTAATGTCTACATTTTGGATCTGCTTAATTTGTCTTTAATGGTTACGTACCACAGAGTTTTAAGGTTGCTGTAATTAAACTTTTACTTGAGAAGTCTGACCTTGATTCAAAAAATTCTGGCCAATTATGGACCTATTCTAAAAAAAATTCTAGAGTTCTTGTTTTGTTTTTTGAATGTCCAGAGGACCAGACTTAACTTTTTTAGATTTTTCTACCTGGATTATTGAGCATGCATCAGGATATCTAGAGAAAATAGTTGCAGGTCAGTGGTGTGAACATCTACAAAGATATAATGTGCTTGAAGAGTTTCACTCAGGGTTTAGAGCTCATAGAAACAGCACTAGTAAAAGTCACTAATGATATTCTCATGGCCTCAGACAATGGGTTTGTTTCTACACTGGTCCTGTTAAGACCTCAGTGCTGCATTTGATACAGTTGATCACAATATTTTACTACAAAGGCTTGAAAATGATATTGGGATTACAGCTCTAAAATGGTTTAAATCATATTTATCTGATATATTACAGCTTGTAAATATAAATAATGAATCTTCTTCATACACCAAAGTTAGTCATGGAGTTCCTCAGGGGTCAATGCTTGGACCAATACTCTTTACTTTATATATGCTTCCATTAGACAGCATAGGATACATTTTCAGTGTTATGCTGATGATACACAATTATATTTGTCCATGAAACTCAACAAATCCAATCAGCTACTTAGACTACAAGCATGTGTTAAAGACATACAATCCTGGATGACCCTTCATTTTCTCCTTTTGAACACAGACAAGACTGATGTTTTGGTTTTTGGACCTGAGCACCTTAGGAATTAATTTTTCAGTCTTCTCCCTCCTTAGATGACATTAATCTGTCCTCCAGTTCTAATGTTAAAAATCTTGGTGTTATTTTTGATCAGGACATGTCTTTTATGCCCCACATTAAAAACATTACTAGAACCACCTTCTTCCACCTGCGTAATATCACTAACATTAGAAACATCTTATCTAAAAATGATGCAGAAAAATTGGTCCATGCATTTGTCACGTCTAGACTGGACTATTGCAATGGTTTATTATCTGGGTGTCCAAAAACTTCTTTAAAACGTCTTCAGTTGATCCAAAATGCTGCTGCCAGAGTCTTAACTGGAGTTAGTGGGAGAGATCATATCTCTCCAGTTTTAGTTTCTCTCCATTGGGTCCCTGTCAAATCCAGAATAGAATTCAAAATCTTACTTCCAAACTACAAAGCTCTCAACAACCTAGCTCCATCTTATATTACAGATCTTATTGTTCCATATTTTCCTAACAGAGCACTTCGCTCTCAGACTGCAGGTTTACTTGTGGTTCCTAGTTTCCAAAAACAATGGGAGGAAGATCTTCCAGTTCTCAGGCTCCTCTCTTGTGGAACCAACTTCCAGTTTCTGTCCGTGAGGCTGACACATTGTCCAGTTTTAAGACTTTCCTTTTTGATAAATCCTATAGTTAGGGTCAGCTTGGGTTTCCTGAGCTATCCCTTAGTTATGCTGCTATAGGCTTAGACTGCTGGAGGACAAACTGACCACATTTTTTTCACTCTGCTTATGTCTTTACTTTGTACAACCTGTTTTGTATTTTTTTTTTCTATCCTTAACATGCGTTTGTCTTTCAGGTTCACCTGCACCTACTCCTGGACCTGCCATTCCGTGTCTGTTTCTCCTTCCTGTCCTCTCCAACCCCAACTGGTCAAAGCAGATGGCCGCTTGTCCTGAGCCTGGTTCTGCTGGAGGTTTCTTCCTTGTAAAACAGAGTTTTTCCTTTCCACTGTTGCCACTGTGCTTGCTCAGGATGGGCGACTGTGACGAAGCCAAGATTCAACTTGTCTGCTGGATTCCTTAGAGAACTTTACTAATTGGCTTTTTTATGTATGTGAATGTTCCTGTAAAGTGCCCTGAGACAACTTTGTTGTGAGTTGGTGCTATATAAATAAACTGAATTGAATTGGGTTATAATTTGTAGTGGTAAGAAATACATCCACAGGCAGATGAAGAGCATTTCTTTTATTTTAAATACGCCATCATTGGTTGAACCTGCGTACTGTAACATCTCTGCACAGAACTACACAGAACATCTGCAGCTCAGACAGCATGTAACATCCACACAACCACACAGCAAACTCCTTCATTTAAACTCCATTTAAAACTCATTCTTTCAGATATAAAAACCACTAAGACGCCAGTGTTTCAGTTTATTCTCTCAACGCGACACGATCTTTCGATAGGCAGACCGTTAAATCACCGTCGGCATCTCAAAAAGGGATTAAGATTGGCTTCACGGGTTCTCAAAGACGCATCCCAAAAAATACAAGATTCCACCTGATAGTCAAAGTAAGGCCAGGAAGAGTCCTTTGCCCTTGTTTAGAAATTTCAAGCATTTCAGAGGATTTTCAAAAACGATCAGACCCAATCTTTGTGCATCAACACAACCTGCCTTTGCACGGTTTGACCTGGGTATGGCTTTAAATGGGGTTTAAAGAGGTGAAAAGGCAGCGACGATGTAAACAGAGCTTTCAAGCTGTACACGGTAAGTTTCCTATCAGATCTACAGCATGCAAACAGAGCGGGGTAGCCACCATGTTTAGGCACACATTTGAACTATCTACAACTGTCTACTTCCTGCCAATTACTCCCCTCACTCGTCAGTCAACAAAACGAAGCATGGGTTTACGCAGAAATGTCCATTTTAAGTGGAAAACTCAATTACTGCTCTGCGCCCAGACATTTTAACTACTATCAGTGCATCAGAAACTTTAATTTCATGCATCTATTGAGTGGAAAAAATATGCAAATGTGTGCTTTTTTATATACTTTTGTTAAGAATACGTTAAGCTTGTTGCTAGTGGTTTATTGGTGTTTTATACACGTCATTGTGTGACGTTATGCAGTCAAAACATTAAAAAAACCACTCTCACAAAGAAAAAAAGCCCATTTTACACAAAATTAAGAACATGGAAGTTTGAGGTTACAGTTTTAAGAAGGAACATGATTGAAAAATATCAGTAGCTCTGCTGCCACAGAGATAAAACAACACAAACTGTCAGAGTTCAGGGAAATTGCAGTGAAACAGCGCAGACTGTCCAAGCGTCTCGTCGGGTCACGCAGGTGCCAAGTCAACTGCAAAGACGAGAAAAATTAGTATTTCATACTGAAGAGTTTACTAATACACTCAAATCACAAACGTGTAACAGTTACAAAATGATCAATGTGAGGGTAGGTCACAGCCATAACATTATGACCACCGTTAACATTGAGTAGGACCTCATGTTGCTGCTGGAACTGTTCCATTAGAGCAGGGGGTCTGCAACCTTTAGCATCAAAAGAGCCATTTCTGCCCCTTCGTTTACTAAATTAAACGTGTCCAGAGCCGCAAAATCTGCTACAACTGTCATTATCAACTGGTGGCCCATGGGCCACTTTAAGTTTGTTAGAGGGGGCTTTTACGGCCAGTAGGCGTGAAATTATAAAACTAAAAACATCTAAAGATTGTTAACATTTGTTGATATTTTTACATTTTAAGACAAAAGAAAAGACTGGACTCCATCCATCCATTATCTTTACTCACTTTTTCCTTTTCAGGTTGCAAGTGTATCACAGAACACTGGATTCTTGTAAAGAAAAATATATATTATGTTGCCAATGCTGTGCAGGCTTATGTGTTTTTTTTTTTAATTGTGCAGTAATTGAGTATCCTACTTTGAAGAAATAAAGCATAAAGTTAAAGTGAGTATAATTTACTCTGTGTATCCACATATTTGCAAAGGAAATGACAGGAAAACTGCTAATAGTTATTTTTTTGTTGTGGGTTTAACATTGCAGACCCCTGCATTAGAGCATGGACTTCAAATTAAAGTCTGATGTGGCATCTGACAGCAAACTGTAGCATCTCCTTGAGGACAGGCCGAGGGTCTCGTATAAAAATTACTAGAAGTTCGAGGGTTGAGAAGCTCCTGTACTTTACCTCCTTGTTCTGGAAAATCTGCAGAAAAAGTGGCAGCTTTGACATCATATTCTTTAATCAGAGCAACATTTTTCTTTTTGGTTAAATAAAAAAATATACACTTTAATCCATTTGCTTTGAAATTGTCAAATTTTGAAATCTACTTCCCATCTTTTTGCCAATGAAAGAAACATCTTGAGGCTTGTAGTGAGATTAACTAAACTGAGCTGTTGTCTCTCTGAAGGGGTCCGATGTCTGACGGGTCAGTCTGATAACTGGTTATATAAAAGCTCATGTTTATCCATCCGACTCCTCTTTGCCTAAACAAAAAAAATAAAACTATCAATAAAGGCATAAAGTGCTGCTTCTGGGACCCGGATGTTCAAGTGACTTCACATAAAGTGTATTTTTCTTTACGAGCCGTGATCCTTGAATAAATAATGTCTAGAAATACTGAGGGACGCTGTCGTTCAGCAGTCAGCCACTGCCACAACGAGAGGGTTTTAATTAAGGAAATGTCTTCGTTTCCAAGATGACGAGTCAAGTGGTGAGCAACATGTAAGAGCAACATGGGGAGTGGTGGCGCAGAGGTTAGAGCAGATGGGCCCTATCGGAAAGTCACAGGTTCAACTCCCCGGACAGACAACATCAAAATGTGGGTGGAAAAGGTGAAACACCCACACCTGCCTGCCCCCACCCTCATTTGCCCCACTCTGGGCTCTTGAGCAAGGCCCTTAACCCCCACCATCTTCTCCCAAACAGGTCGCTCTCAAAAATGAGTTCTCGTGACTCAATGAGACTACCTGTATAAATAAATAAAATAAAAATAAACAAATAAAAATATAATTTCTGTAGCCCGTTAGATGAGGAAAAAGCTTAAATTATTGGCTGAACGCTTCCACAGCGTAGTACAGCGTGCAGGTCACGACATTCCTCTTTGAATCTCTATGCCGACGACACTGTTGTTTATCGTTGAGCTCAAACAGTTGCTAAGGTTTTCCAGCTTCTACAGTCTGCATTCAACATCATCCAGTCTGACTTGTTCCGTCTCAAACTGGTGCTAAACGCTGATGAAACCAAAGGGATGTTAACAGAAAGTTGGTGCCAGCAGTTATATTATCCATGCATGGTGTTCCTATTGAGTTTGTGGATTCTTGCAAATACTTGTGAACCTTGGTTGATGCGCAGCTCTCTTATAAGCCGCATGTCCAAAACTTGATAAAGAAACTGAAATTAAAACTGGGTTTCTTTTTCAGAAATAGATCCTGATCAACTCTGAACACCAGGAAACGTTTTGTAGCTGCTACTTTCATACTGGCCTCTGACTATGGTGACATCATCTACATGAATGCCCCTGCCAGCACCTTGCAGATGTTGGACGCTCTCCATCATGGTGCGCTGAGATTCATAACCGGCTTAACTACCGTACTCACCACTGCACCCTGTATTCACTGGTTAATTGGACATCATTAACCTCACGCAGACTCTTGCACTGTTACATTTTCATCTTTAAATCACTTCTTGGTCTTCTGCCTTCTTATATCTCCTCCTACATGTCACGTCGTCAGTGCAGTTACAGCGTGCGCTCTCAGGACATCATTACCTGCAGCGTTCCCTCAGTGCAGACTTAGCAAAAAGGCCTTTTCTTACTCTGCTCCCATTTCCTGGAACATCTTACAAAAAGACCTGAAGCTGTCCACTTTGACCTCTTTATGGGATTTTAATCAACTGATAAGTTCAATGCGGAAAAAAAAAATCAAGCATATTCCTGTTTTTAGTATTTTACCTTATTTTATAAAGCACCTTGATTTTATTTTGTTTTATAACACTACTTTTTATTTTTATTTTATTTGCATTTTATTGTTGTGTGTACATTATCTGTTGTTTGACTAAAACCAGATCTCTCTTGAAAATGAGTCATTGTGACTCAATGAGACTAACCTGTATTAATAAAGGTTGAATGAATGAAGACAGTACATGTGACAACAGAGGTAGTCACAGGGTCAAAACGGTCGCTTCTGTTTGGCGTGTGTGAATAATGAAAACGGGAACATCCGCACCTTCATGAGAACATCTTTCTATACTTATAAGGCATAACAGATGTGAGAAAAAAAGAGCTAAAAGCTAAAACCACTACAAGTCATTTCTCATCAAATGATCTTCGTCTAAGACTCACGCATAAAGACCGCAGGTGATACGCTTCAAATTATTTTTGCTTTTCCGTTTATGGCTGTGGTTATAATGTTATGGCTGACCATTATAAAGTTGCATGCTCTGAGGACAGTATTACTCAAACCAGTCTGATCAGAACTAATATCCAGAGGTGGATTTGTGGTAAAGTACTTACACAACACACAACAAACAGGCTGCGGCTTTGCTTCACTCCAAACCGAGCAGCTCAACGTCGAAGACCAGCGTGGCGTTGGGCGGGATGACGCCCGGGTGGCCTTTGTTTCCGTAAGCGAAGTCAGGCGAGCAGGTCAGCTTAGCCCTCTGACCAACGCTCATCTGCGGGACGAGACGGAGAGATGTTGTTAGAGAGCTGGCAGCCTGCTGGATCGTGACAAACCTACAGCAGCTCAAGTTAGATAACACGTCTCGGGGGACGGAGGGAAACAAATCATCTTATTTACCAACGATGCTTCAGTATTACTAAATCTAAAAAACGCTGCGTCCTGTATTGTTGCTTCGTTTCTCAATAGCTCAAAATCTTAATCAAGATCATCTTTTTTTATTAAAAAAAAAAGTTGTTGATTTTTTTTTTTTTAATCAAAAGCCTGAAGGTGGAGTTTGAAACGACTGATAAAACAATAGCAGCAGAGGTTTGAGATAAATGCTGTGATGAAATGTGCCGGTTGAAAAGATTTAGGGTGGGGGGGGAAGTGCAAAGTCTTGAAGACAGGACATTAAAAAAAAAAAAAATCTTAAACTAAGAAACAAAATCTGAACTTAAGATAAAAAATATACAAGCAGACTTTGTACCCAGCAGCCAACTACCACGTGCACTTGTTTTCCTACAGAAAAAGCCAAAGTGACTGAAAAGCGGTCAAAGACAGCGGCCATCTTTGTTTCCCTACACAGACCACAATTAGGGCTGAATGACTTTGGAAAACATTTTTTACCTCAATGTTGCGTTTTAACATTAAATTATTTTTCAATGTCTTCTTCTTCATGTATTTTCAACGAACACAAGCAATAAATCTGTTTCGGTTGTTTTCAGCTCCGCTGCAACGGTTTCTGCATCTTTTGTATCGCTCCGGGGCGTTCTGTACCACTTATCCACTGTGTTCACCAAAGCCGTAACCCCAGGCTTGGTCACTATATTAATGGGCATCATGTCTTTCGCTATGAACTCCATTACTGCTCGAGTTATTTCCTTGTGCAGTTTTGAATTATGTTCATACGGAGCAAAACCTTCGAGCAGTTCGGTCAGTGGTCCCTGTCGGCTGCTACTTGAAGTTGAAGCACCGCTCGTTGGCATTCTAGCCATGCAACTATCGTAAATGGCTTTGTGGCATTAAATAAAATAAACAAAATAATTTCAAACAACAGACGCGCTGCCCCTCTTTGGTACCAAACTCTTAAAGCGCAGCGTTGACTTCTCCCGCTCTCTGCTCCGCTCACTCGCAAGTCACCTAACCAGATCATGTGACCAGTCGAATTGCAGCCTCTGCCATTAGAAAATCTCCTTTATCATATCACGATATTATTGCAAATGCAATTAATTGTCCAGCCCCAACTACAACCAACCACATGTAGGTCAACTGTATGGTCCACGTGGTTTTCAGTGGATTCAGCTCCGTTTACGTCGAGTGTGGACCCACATTTCAGAATTGCATATCTGGAACCTCCTGGAGTAAATGTTTTCAAACTGCACCGTTTATACAGTCCAGGATAAAACTGTTACGTTTGATTTCATCGCTTGAGATGAACAAGACTTGCAACAGATCCACGTCAGTAAATTATGAACATCAGCAGCAGGAAAATCTAATTTCATGTCATCCCAGCTGTATGTGCATCTGAATCACGACAGCTCCGTGTGACTGGTTGACATTTCTCAGAACAGTCTGTAAGTGTGACACAACACAGCTTCGTCTAAATCTGTGACTGAAGCAACATCCTCCCAGTCTGCAATAATCTACAGGAGCACGACGACTTGGAGCGTCCCTGATGGGGGAAAAACATAAAGGTTTGAACATCAGCTTGCACAACATTATCACCCGCCATCAAAGACAAAAGGGGGGACAATGTTTTTGCCCGTTTCTGTGAGTGTGCACGTGTGTTCATTTGTCATGAACTACAGGATGTAGTCGGCATCAAAGGCACAGTTTTATCCTGGTTTAGATCCAACTAATCTGCGGGGGTCCCTCAAGGGTCTATTTTAGTTCCACGGCTTTTTAATCTCTACATGATGCCTTTGGGGTCCATTTTTAGAAAACATAACATTTATTTTCTCTTCTTTGTTAATGAACTTCAGTTGTATCTGCCCAATGAGTCAGACAGGGTCACTCCACTGGATCCACTCTTGAACTGTCTAAATGACATTAAATTTCCTGAATCTAAATGAAAACAAAACTGAAGTCATCGGTTTGGTAAATGTAACACCCTTGACACTCTTGGCTTCATACAGCCACTCCATTGTCAGGAATCTGGGAGTTATTTTCAATAGTGCTTTTAAAATGGACAAACAGATAAATGCATTTTCTTCCAGCTAAGGCTTATTGCCAAGGTGAAGTCTTGTCTCCCTTTCGGAGACCTTGAAAATGTGATTCACGCTTGTATTAGCTCTCGTTTGGACTACTGTAATGCTCTGTATGTTGGTTTAGATAAATCATCTTTGCATCTCTTACAAACTGTCCAGGCCACAGCAGCTCGTCTGTTAACAGCAACTAGAAAACATGAACACAACACCTGTCCTGGCGCTCCTCACCCCATCTCAATCAGGTCTCTTTTGTAAGCGAGTCCTCGAGGCTCAATGGGATTTACCCGTCTAAATAAAGGTTGAATGAACGAATGAATCTCTGCGGCTGAGCCCGGCCACCCTGCGAAGGAAGCTCATTTTGGCTGCTTGTCTTCAGAATCTTCTCTGGTCCTTATCCAAACCTCAAGACCACAGATGACGGAGCGTAGAAAGACGAGTAAATCAAGAGCTTTGCTTTTCGACTCAACTCTTTCTTCACCATGACCGACAAAAGCAACGTCCTCATTACTGAGAACAAAGCCCCACTCCATCGATCCATCTCTCGCTCCATCCTACCATCGCTCAGACGCCCAGATACTTAAAGACATTTCATTTTTTGGTGATAACATCAGGAGTAACACCTACCTGCACCACACCCTCCTCCCAACCTCGGATCACTTCCTGTTTGCCGATCTTGAACCGGAAAGGCTTGTCCCTGTCCCGAGATGAGTCGAACTTCCGTCCGTCTGTCAGCGATCCTACGGACACAGAGAGGAACGCCCTTACATACTTAGCTTCAACTGTATGGCAAGCCATTTTAACATAAAATAGATTAGCCTGACTATCTGTAGTTACATTCTAGATATCTAAAAATGAGTTTTGACTACATTTTGACTGTCCAGAAAGTTAATTTAAGATATCTGTATTTACATTCTGACTAGTCAGAATAACAATTCAAGATGTCTTAAAAGGAATTTAGACGAGTCATACAGTTCAAAATATCTTTGTTAGTTTTGCCTAGTCGTTATTTGCCATCAAGATATCAGCAATTTAATTTGCACTAGTCAAATTCTTATATGTGATATCTAAAAATACATTTAAGATATCTTGAATAATGACGTATTTTAAGATATCTTTCATTGTAATTATGACGTGTGTGTGTGTGTGTGTGTGTGTAGGTGCCACGCTGCACATGTTATTAGACTCATCAGGGCAGAGAAGGCTGGGTGCAACCTTTAATATCTGCAGCTGAGTGGGAGTCGGATCCTCTTGTGGACATCAGGACAGCAGCCTGATGGAATTATCTGCTGCAGCTGAAAGCTTCGATCCGTGCATCACCACGTGCACGCAGCTTCTCTCGTCTCACCAGCAAACACCACAGTGAAGACGTTTTATCACGCTGATCAGTTCCTGCACATACGGCCAGTCCAAAGCACCAGAAACCACCCTGCACTGAAAGTAAAGGCTCGCTTTTTCACAAGAATATTCAGTTTCACGTCAAAAACGAGGGTCGCTTTGTAGGCTGACAGGAAAACAGGCGAGGAAAGGAAATCCTGCAGATGCAAGACTCACATCAGACCAGTCTGCGTGTTACATAATGTTGAAGCATTGTTACAGAACATTTGATCATGTTGGGAAGGATTAGCTTCCAACATCAGATTCTGGAGCTGGTGCAACAAGTTTTGTTCTTTATAATTATTTCAATCTGCAGAGAAAAGGTCTGGACCATTAATGTTCACACAAATGTCTTCAAGAGCAAAACATCTTATCTGGAGTCATTTGGAATACCAGGAAAATTTGCAAAATACTCGTCTTCACGTATAATCTTTTGAAACGATGTTGTATTTTAGTACAATGACCTGGAAATGTACACCTAAACTATAATTAAAAAAGGTCTAATTTAACTTGTTAAAGCTCCACAGGTGTATTTTTAACTTCAGCTCTTCTGGGTTAACCCAGACCTTCTTGGTTTTGCACCTTCGTGTTACATCAAACAAAGTTGGAGGAGAGCTTTGGTATTTTCCTAAACATTATTTTCATCCTTAACAGGAAATACTAACAGGGCTCCAACAGGGGGGGCTGTTGGGGTGTGCAAGTAGGCAGCATTACTTATATCGTGTAAATTCAGTCATCTCAAGACAACAGACAAATAAAAATAACTAATATTTGGACAAAAGATTCCATCTCTGCTCTTTGCAGATGATGTGGTCCTGTTGGCGTCAGCGTGCCGTGATCTCCAGCTCTCACTGGAGCGGTTCACAACCAAATGTGAAGCAGCTGGGACGAGAATCAGCAGCTCCAGATCTGAGGCCGTGGTGCTCAGTCAGAAAAGGGTGGATTGTTCTCTTCAGGTCGAGGGTGAGGTTTGGCCTCAAGTGGAGGAGTTCAAGCATCTTGGGGTTTTGTTCACGAGTGAGGGAAGAATGGAGCGTGTGATTGTCAGATTGGTGCAGCCAACAGCCGGTCTGTTGAGGTGAAGAGGGAGCTGAGCTGTAAGGCAAAGCTCTCCGTTTACTGCTCGGTCTACGTTCCTCCCCTCACATCTGGTCATGAACTCTGGGTAGTGACTGAAAGAATGAGATCGTGGATACAGGAGGTTGAAATGAGTTTCCTCTGCAGGGTAGCTGGACTCTCCCTTAGAGATGGGGTGAGAAGTTCAGTTATCAGGAGAGATTCAGAGTTGAACTGCTGCTCCTCCACATTGAGAGGAACCAGCTGAGGTGGTTCAGGCATGTCCAACTGGGAGGAGACCCAGAGGAAGACTCAGGACACGCTGAAGAGACTACGTCTCAGTTGTCCTGGGAACATCTTGGAGTCCTCCCAGAAGAGCTGGAAGAGGCGGCTGTAGAAAGAGATGTCCGGACCTCCATGATCAAGATGCTGCCCCCAAGACCTGACTTCAGAACAAGAGGAAGATGATGAATGGATGGATGGATGGATGGATGGATGGATGGATGGATGGAACTATGTCACAATGACTGAGAATACTTTTAGCATTGTTAATTTATAATTAACATTATTTTTAATTTTAGAAACTTTTTTTTGTCAATAAGTGAAGCTGAAACTTCTTTGAGCGTTGGGACAAAGTTTAGAACAGAACATCTTTGTGTAATTTGGAGAAAAGACGTAAACTGATGATGATGAGAAACTTCAAGCCTGTTGAGTCTGAACTCAAATTTTAAACATGAACACGACTGTAACAGGTTTGTAAAAGAAGATGTCAAAGGAATTAATAAAGATAATTAGTTTCAGCCAAAGCAAAAATATTTATTAAAGCAGAAGATCAAATCTTCTCGAGGACGTTCCTGTGGAAATATTATTAAGAGTTAACATCTTACCTGTTGTAGATAGATATTTGAACAACCCGTTTAAAGAAATCAGCGTCTAATTCAGACTGGACTATCGAGCTAACGCCTGATGGGGCCAAGATTAATGTGGATTACAGCCGTCTTAAAACCCAAAAAATATCTAAGTGGTTCATGGAAAAGCTTTTGAAAAAGGCTCGGTTATTTACGCAGACTTCTGTTGGCAGAGGACGTAGAAGAGGAGCGAGTTATCTGCAGCACTTCCAGGTCGGGCAGACGTTTGGAATATTTCTGCTGAGCTTCAGTGTAAAGCGGAGTCATCAACCAAACGTGCTCAAGTGCCACAATTTTTCTAATGAGACTAACGAGCCTGGGCCAAATTACCATATTTTCTGCCGTACAAGTCGCACCACCCTATAAGTTGCATCAGGCAAATACGTCTAATAAAGTGGACAAATCCATAAATATGTCACTTTTGAGCTCATGGGGCAGATATGGCCCGTGGATCGCCATTTAGTGACTTCTAGTGTGCAGGTTTTTAGGGCAGCGTTCACGTGAACCACTACGACAGAGTTGTTTTAGGACCGTAAATATCTAGACCTCCAACGGGAGACTGGAACAGAACCAGTTGGACCTCTCGCCTGGCTCCAGTACAAGTTTTAAGTCCTGGCCCTCCATGTAAACAAAGAGCATTACCTCTGGTAAAATTTAAAAAATACACCTCATGCTTCAAGTATTGGCGCTAGTTCTTACCTTGCTGCTGAATGTTCATATCTTTATTTTCTAATATGTGTAATAATTAGTTCATAATTAAAAGAGAGGTCATGTGACACCATGATCGTTTGCTGGTGAGGAAGCGGGACTCGAAGCCTCACGTCCCTCGTGCCAAGACATTAAAAGATGCGACGTGGTGGTTCCTGTAAAACCGACCCCGCTGGCTTCAATTTCCAACAACAACAACAAGATAAGGAAGATATGTAATATATTTAATTCAAACAGAATTCCCCTTTGAAATGCTCCCATTGTCCGGAGAAAACCTTCACGTGCACAGGAAGAACATGTCACCTCCACACAGAAAGGTTCGCAGCCGAGTTTAGAACCCGTTTGGTCAGAACTAAACTGTATTTCTCCAAATTGAGCTCGGTCAAACAGCTATCTGCAACAGGTAAGACACTGTTTGTTCATGACCTCTCTACAAAACCCTACCTAAAAATATTTGAACTTTCCGTTTAAAGTTTCTAAGATATGGCCGATATCAGCTCCTGTGGGAAGGCGATGCTCATGAGGCGCGGTGGGAATACGCTCCGGTATCGAGTGCGTCTGGTGGAAAATATTACACGAACACAGCGAGGGAGGGAGCCATTATTCCAGCCTCCCAGACAGTTATAATCCGCTCAGCTGAACCGCCACAGACCTACCCACCCCAACCCCCCAGCCCCGCCCCCATGACCCCAAAGAAACTCCAACAAAGGCAGAAAAGCGTTGGAAATCAGACAGGATTTAAAACCTGGCTGTCTGAGTCCGTCTGGGGCCTCAGAGTTAACCCTGCGGTGGGTTTCAGCCCATTCCTCCTTTATTTTTTTAAATAATTAAATCTCCAGACACAGATCGCCTCATGCTGATGTGGCGAAGATGGTCCTGCAGAGCCCGGGTCACACCAACGATCTCAAAGACGGTTTAAAGGCCGAGTATCAGACTGACTGATCAGCCGATATGGGCCACTGTCACCGAGCGCAGCAGCTAAAACTTTCTACACTTTGTTGTTTTTAAGCAGGAAGGCTCTTTTGTGCAAATACACAATGCATTTAAGTTGCAAAAACAAATCATAAAAGCTAAAAATGCACATCACCCCCTTCACGTTAACGGTTATTGCGTCTCAAATTTAAAAACTGTAAGCAATTCCAGCTGCCAACTACCACGTGCGTTTGGTTACCTACAGAAACAGCTGAAGCAACTTAAAATAAACAGCCGCGACGTCCAAAAAGTGCTTTGTTTACATCGAGTGCAGACCCACATTTCAGAACCACGCTTCTCCATTTATCTGGGATACTGGAGTAAAGTGCCAAAGTGCATGGTTTGAAGAAAAGTGATTTTATGTTTGATCTCATTATGAGTGAAATTAATTAGTTAGTGGGCGAAGAGGTCCAGCTTCAGCTGTGCAGTTTGTCCCACTCCTCCCTCACCCTGCTCCTGTCAGGATTACTATTCTGAGCCATGTTTTACAGACTGGGAGACAGACTGGGAGACAGACTGGGAGACAGTTGTCTGCAGCCGTCACTCCTCCTCCTCCTTCTTCTTCTACGGTCTCCAGCAGACACGCAGGATGGAGCCTAAATGTGCACAGTGTCCACGCTTCTCGTGTCCAACTCACCGACATAATGCACCACGCACGTCTGTCCTTTTTTGGGGAAGGTCCTTCCTGTGGAGAGAGCGACGACGCGTTTAAAGGCGGTGTCTTTGATGTCTGCAGCTGAATTAAACGCTGGTTTCCGGTGTGGGGGAGTTTCATTTACCGTCACCCGGAGAGATCGTCTCGATTTCCACTCCCATGTCGGCGGCGTTCGTCTCGGAGCCGGTGAGCTTCTGCTGCCCGCAGTCTGTCTGTCTGACCGCTCCTCCGCCGGATGTCCTCAGCTGTCTCTCTCTCTCTCTTTCTGTCTCTCTCTCCCTCCGCTCAGAACTACTACTTCCGCTTCAGTCCTTCAAAATAAAACTCACCAGAGGCGAAGGAACCAAAGAGGAACTGGTCTTTTTAAAAATCCAACTCATTTGACACCTGGTGTTATGGGCGGCTGTGGCTGAGTGGTTAGAGCAGTCGTTCTCCAATGCAAGAGTTGGGGGTTCGATTCCACCAGCACCACACATGCCGAAGTGTCCCTGAGCAAGACACTGAACCCCTGAACAGTGAACCCCTCATCCGATGTGCGTCCCATCAGTGTGTGAATGTGATAAAGCTCTGATTAGTCTCTCCAGATTCAGATGAGCTTAGTATAGATCAGGGGGGGCTTTTTCCCTGAAAGGGCCAAATTTAAAATCTATAGGGCTGCGGCCAAATGCAATAATATAATTATTTATTACAGTTATTTATCCATCCATTCTGTATAAAGAACATTACAGAACAGGCTGCATTGGTGATGGGGGTCTGGGGGGGGGGGTCCTCCACCAGAGAATTTTGAATAAAGTAGATGCCATTTTCTGCATTTTGTTGTATTTTACAAAGGTTTATTTGTAGATTAACATGAAACAAAACATGTCAACTCTGTTATTATTGAAATCTCTGACTGCAAACGTTCTTAATGCAACACAGCTGCAGCTCTGCAGGTAAGGGACGTTCACTCGGGACAAACTGGTCAGTTGCCGACGAGCCTACTGGACTCATTGACAGGTGGCGTGACTCGTGCAAAAAAATTAGATTTTACTGGCCCGTTTGAGACTGTTGTCATTTATTCAATATTTTGGTGAATCTACGGTTTGAGAGCTGCTTCCTTACAAAATCCTAACGACGGTTTCTTAATTTTTCAGAGATGTGGAGTTTAAATTTAGGGGTGCTCAAGAAGGGTGTGATCAACTTTGTCAAAGGAAATGTTATTCATCAGCAAGAAACTGCTGAGACACAGTATTAAGTCTGTCAAAATAAAATATAAATTATTAAATAATTAATGCACAAATCTCCAGCTGTGTAGTCATTACAGTTGTCGTTGGGCCAACTTTCCATTTAACATTAAATTTGGAATGAATGAGTGTAAACACAATGATCCTTCAAAGGAAATTTTAATATAGTAATGAGGACAGCTTGGGGGCCAACTGTGGGCACCCCTGGTACTGAGTGTTGTATGAATGGGTAAATGAGGCACAGATTGTGTTGTAAAGCGTTCTACAAGTTCAGTCCATTTACCATTTGATACCAACAAAACTAAACTGTTCTATGAAGCGATTTGTCCCAATACATACCTGGTGCACTACAGGTGCTTCACAGATTTGGTTCTGGTATCTACAGAAACTAACTGTATGATGAAATCACCTGTTATACTGTAACGAGTACATGCTGGTACTTATATATGCACTATCCCTCAGTGTGGACTGAACTAGGGAAAAGGGCCTTCTCCTACTCCGCTCCGGTTTTCTGGAATATCTTGCAAAAAAAAAAAAAAAATCTGAAGCTCTCGACCTTGATCTCCAAGTGGCTTCAAACGTCTAAGTTCATGGGAAAAAACCAAAGCAGACATGTTCCTGTTTTTTAGTTTTCTACATCCCCTTATAATCTATAGCTGTTTTTTTTTTATTGGTTACATTTTTTTAATACCATTTTATTTTCACTTGTTATTCTCAATGTGTATGCATCCTTTAAGATTGTATATAGTCGTCATCACTCTGTTAAAATCACGTCTCTCTTGTAAAAGAGTCCCTGAGGTTCAATGGGGTTAACCTGTATAAAGGTTGAATGAATAAAGAAATGTACCCAGTATTTATCAGGTATGCACATGGTTCCGACAAAGTTTGGGCTGTAACATAAAGTGAGCAATTACCCTTCATCTTTCAGGTACAAGTTACCAACCTGGTACTACTGTATATGTTAAGTAAATGGTACTTACAGGTGAACAGGATAAGTGCCTGATACCTGCAAGTACCCAGTACTTCCCTTGAAAATACCGATACTTACAGGTAACTTACGAAACTTCTCTGACACACACCAGTATGCGCCACCTGGTATATAAAAAGTAATTAGAAAGTACCTTCCAAGTACACAGCCACTAAGCACCGGGTACAGTTTACCTGACAAGACGCACGCTTCTTAATTCATTCAACAGTTCCGTCTCGATTCTGAAGCAGTTTCTGTAGATCAGTTTATTTTATTTTGCAAAATAAAGGATTCAAACAAGAGCTGGGTTTATCGTTTTCTAAATATTCAAATAATCAAAATGCATTAGTCTCCAAACAAAACCCGTATCAGTTACAGAACTTTAATAATTGGGTTTTCTATGTGTGTGAATGTTTCTGTTCAGTGCCCAGAGACAACTTTGTTGTGAATTGGAGCTAAAGGAATAAAGTGAATTGAAAGTAATGTTTTAAAGATGTGACTAGAATTTAAAAGCCATCTGTTTTAAACATCACATTGTGGCCATCTCATAAGTATATATATATTTTAATATATATATATATATATATATATATATATAAATTTAAATATGCCTAAATAAAGATTAGGCAGGCAACATCATGATGTTGGCAGGAAAGGCAGACCGACCAGATCAGAGTTTTCTAGTGAGAGTAGCTCTTTTTTATGTAGGTTACCAATGTTAACTAAAACTATAAATATAACACTTTAATAAAGTCTGAGGAAAATTTTTATCAAACCCCTCAAAAACAGAAAAAAAGTGAATAAAAGCCTTTCTTTGAGTCAGTGTGCATGCTTTTATTTTGAAGTGCAGCTTCTTTTAGCTTTAACCTGATAGGTGTGCTGATCAAGATGTGTTTGATTTAAAAAAAACTGCTCTTTAAAAATAAAAATATCCACATAAAAATAAATAAATCTAACATTTGTGCTTTAAATACATAAAACAAGCGTGAGAGAAAAATTTAAATGTGTCAAAAATGAGTCATTTTTTTAACCTTTAAACTCTTCGTGACACATTTCAGTAGACCTCAGGCCCGTCATGTTCTGTTCAAAAGATCGTGCACATTTTAAATCCAGTTTGACTTTTTCTTTTAAATGCAGCAAAATAAAACGAGATTTGACTTTAACGTCTCTGAAGATGTAAAAAAATAAATAAAATCCCAGCTATGACCTAAAATCATTCATTTTTTTCCCCAATGTTGATGCTTCTCATCCGATCAAAATGAAAAATACAATAAATAAATAAAGCACACGACTGTAATCTGTTCATACATCAACCATAAAATGAATTTATTTAATCAGAGGTCTAACCATATTTCTGGTTCCCCAGGATGCATAGAAGATGTGAGTTACAGGAATACAACTTCTAAATCAAACCAGTGTTCACGTTTCAAACGTTCTTTCGCTCAAACGGCAGCTCGATGCTAAAGCTGCGACGCCGGTTTTACGCTCGTCTGTATCAAAACGCTGCTGTGGAACTGGAACGATCTGTCAGAGAGAAAGGAAACGGGAGGAACAAAGACGGTTTAAAAAAATAAATCCATCTGCTTTTCAACAAAGGGGCAGGTGTGGTTCTGCAGGTGAACAAAGGAGAGTGGGGCTGCAGGTTAAAACAGGAACGATGTTTTCTGTTACGTCTTTACGCTCATTTAAGTGTGGAAACTTAAAAAAAAAACAGCATTAATCTGACCGGTCTTCCTCACGGAGCTGCTTTTGTGCGGATTAGACAGAAAAGGAGGAAATGAGCTGCTGAAGATCCAGCAGCTGATAGTAAACACTGTTCTCGGGTCAGATTACGTTTAGCAGGAAACAAAAACAAATCTAGAAGGCGGGCACATCTGAGACAAACCGCCCCCCCACCAAAACCACGACTCTCCAGCGTCTGGAGGCTTTTTGACAACTTTGATTCTGGAGTCGGCCTCGGAGAACGGACAGACGAGCGGGTGGGAGGGCAGAATTTTACATTTCCTTTTAGAAAAACAAAAATCAGAAACTAGAAGTCCGTATGCGAGTCTGTTTTCTCCTCCCCCAGCCACATCACCGTATGAGGAGGTGCGGGGGAGGCGTGTTCTCCCAGCCTCACTTTAGCCGCTGGACGATGACGGCGTTGAGGAGGTTGGCCTCCTGCAGCGTCAGGCTCTCATCCATCAGCTCCTTGTTGGGGAAGGTGGTCATCAGAACAAATTCCCGGGCGGCCATGGTGGGCCGAGCCGCCGCCACGAAGTGCCGCAGGTCCGACACCCTGAGGCGCACAAGAAGAAATAAAAGGTTGCAACACTGTCGGGTTATTTTACTGCTTTAAATCTTTCCAAGACTTAAAGTCGGTTAAGTTGGTTAGAAGCTGCTGCTTCTTTAGTGAGGCTGCTCCTTTGTGGGACAGGGTTCCCAGCACATCATGGGAATAAAATCCCAGAGTAAATCCTGAGGTTCCAGGAGATATTTCAGTCACGCTCAGAATTTAGCGACTTACGAGGCGAGCACAGGATTAACTGTAGCAGTGAGTTATTTAACGTTCAACTTTATGAAGGGACACAAACTACAGTTATTTTATCAAGTCAGTAAAGATTCATGTACCCTGCTGATGCACAACACAACTAGAAAGTTCCTGGAGGAACTTTGACAGGACTGCCACGTGGCATTTTAAATATATATATATATATTAAATATATTAAATAGGTGTATATTAATTATAATATATTAACTGAGTATGTTTTCATGTTCCTGCCTTTATGGGAAGAATTACAGCAACAGCTACGTCTGTTTCAGATTATCTGCCTGGCTGAAGACACCTTTAGCTCATTTTACCTGTGTAAATTAGGGCGTGGCCTTTTCACGGATCTATTTCAGAACATCAGCTCCAACAAATAATTTTAAAATCTGCTTCCGCGCGCTAATCTACCTTGTTTTTGAGTTCTGTTCCTTAAACATGTTAAGCTGTCTCAAAGTTGAGCTGCGGCAGAGTTTATGAGTCACCTGTGGGTCAGGTTGAACTTCTGAACCAGGCGGCCACCATCCGCCAGCCGGATCTGAATGTTAGTTGTGGGTTGGGAGGGGTCGAGGGTCACGGAGGCGCTGGCCTGAGCCTCGTTGGCAGACTGGTCCTGCTGGGACGTGAACGGAGCTGTAATCAACTCCGGGGTGGCACTGGATGAGCAGAAAGAAAAAAATTAAATATTTAGTTCATTTAATGTTTTTGAGACGTGACTACATCCTGTCTCTACATCCTGTCTCATGTCTACATCCTGTCTCTACATCCTGTCTCATGTCTACATCCTGTCTCTACATCCTGTCTCATGTCTACATCCTGTCTCTACATCCTGTCTCATGTCTACATCCTGTCTCTACATCCTGCCTCTACATCCTGTCTCTTGTCTACATCCTGTCTCATGTCTACACCCTGTCTCATGTCTACACCCTGTCTCATGTCTACATCCTGTCTCATGTCTACATCC